AATATTCAAGCTCATTTAAATTTTATATTAGAAATCTTAGTTCTTAGAATTCAGCCATCATATGTAACTCTTAGCTGTGGCATATTTCTTGAGGAAGATAGCTTTGAAGCTGTAAAAATGATTAGATAAGTAACCCTAGTTCTGGTTGGGTAATAATTTCTGAGATAAAAAAGGAAAGCTCTTAAAAGAACACTTCCAATAATAAATATTTTTAGGTTTAAAAAGAATGTTAAAATTAATCCTGTCCTTTCTAGGACTACCATCCTGTGTTTTCCAATGAAAACATTTTTGGGACACCTGGGTGGCTCAGTGGTTGAGCATCTGCCTTAGGCTCAGGTCATGATCCCGGGGTCCTGGGTTCAAGTCCTACATTAGGCTCTCCCACAGGGAACCTGCTTCTCCCTCTGCCTGTGTCTCTATGTCTCATGAATAAATAAATAAAATCTTAAAAAATTTTTTTTGACTTTGCTGTTTATATAAAAGAGAAATCATTATGTCAGAGATTTAATAGAGATATATAAAGTAAGAAGTCCTTTCATAATGGCAAGAAATAACTATAGTTAAGAGTTTGGGGCACATCCTTCAGCTTGTAAACACACGCGTGGATATATTTTCAACATAAATGCCTTCATTTAGCACGTACATTTTTCTTTCCCAGCCCATATAGTTCTGCCTCAACTTTTCATTCACTATCTGGATCTGCTCTAATGTATTTAATCAGTTCTCTGATGATATCCATTTAGATTATTTTTTATTTTTTTCTGTTATAAAGAATGTCACAGTGGACATGAGCACATGTCATTACTTGTCCAATTGTTTCCTTGAAATAAATTCCTGGGAATAAAACTGTTGAGGCAAAAATATATATATTTCTTGCATTATTAATATTTATAGCTGTTATGAAGTTGAACTGCCAGATGCGTACACCGATTTATATTCCTCTCAGCAATGGAAAGTGTCCATTTCACCACAATTGCCTAGTATTTCTAATTTTAACATCATTTTTGTAAATCTGATAGGTGAAAATATTTCTACTTACTTTTGTTTGGTTATAAGTGAGCTGGTATTATCAAACTCTAACCATACTGCCTTGAGATGCCTAAGTTACCTAGGATATCTGGGTACAGTATTTCCATTTGTGACAACATTGGTAATTATGGCAAGGACACAGTGACATTATTATAGTTGAAGGCATTTTGTTTAATTTAGGGAACAATAGTCTTAATATAGTAGGAGTAATAGTAAATGTTTTAACCCCTGTCCCAGTTCTCATTCAGTGGTGATTTTGCCTCCCAGAAGACATTTGCAATAATTGAGAGCATCTTTTGTTGTCCCAACTGGAGGAGTGGGTGTTGCTAGTGGCATCTCGAGGGATGCTGCTAAACATCCTATACGAGAAAATGTCTCCCTTGCCTCCCTCCTGTCCTGCCTGCCATAACAAAGAAGTATGTGATCCAGAATGTCAGCACTGCATAGTTTAAGAAAATTTGTCCTAGCCCAATAATTCTACTCCTTAGAATCTGTCTTTATAAAATAGTCCAAGGGGATCCTTGGGTGGCTCAGCGGTTTAGAGCCTGCCTATAGCCCAGGGTGTGATCCTGGAGTCCCGGAATCGAGTCCCACATCGGGCTCTCTGCATGGAGCCTGCTTCTCCCTCTGCCTGTGTCTCTCATGAATTAATAAAATCTTTAAAATAAATAAAATTAAAATAGTCCAAAATACAAAAAGGTGTGTGTGTGTGTGTGTGTGTGTGTGTAATTGGGGCATGTATCACGATATATAATTATGAAAAGTGGGAAACAAACTTAATTCTTTGAAGAACAAACTGATAGTTACCGGGAGGGAAGTGGAGGGAGGTGAAATAGATGATAGTGCTTATCATGATAAGCACTGATAGAACACTGCATGTTAACTACGCTGGAATTAAATTTAAAAGTTTAGGGATCCCTGGGTGGCGCAGCGGTTTGGCGCTTGCCTTTGGCCCAGGGCGCGATCCTGGAGACCCGGGATCGAATCCCACGTCAGGCTCCCGGTGCATGGAACCTGCTTCTCTCTCTGCCTCTCTCTCTCTCACTGTGTGACTATCATAAATAAATAAAAAATAAAAAAAATTTTTAAAAAAGTTTAATTTAAAAAATCTTAATTATTTGAGACTTAGATTTGATTGCCCATGGCAACTGCATCAGTTGCCAACTCTAAAGAATTGGCAACAACTTCAGAGATAAATTAACTCAGCCATTTTGGGAATTCAATATACAGTGCCCTTCAACTTCTCTATGTCCATTCTTTCACTTAAGTCTTCTATTCTGAATTACTGTTTGCCCATGCTTTTTACGCTACCATTAGAGTTAAAAAGTACAGGCAGTTTTTCAGTGAAGTTAACTTTTAATTTTGTGTACCAGTAGAGTTAAATGATAGACCCATTCGTAGAGATAGTCTTTTATTTTTTCTTTACTGTAATTTAATATGGAAGAACAAATGATAAAGAATTGGAAACAGTCATAATGTCTATCAGTAGAGAATGGATAAATAGGTTTTGGCATTTTTCACAAAGTGAAATTCTGTATGATGGTTTAAATTAATGAACTAATCTGTATGATAAATCTAAAGCATAATGTAAATGAAAAGCAAGGCATAGGATATTTAGAGTATGATAACTTTGAAGTAAGTGTTAATATTACACAAAATACTATATTGTTTATAGCTGTGTATATATCCATAAAATATAAAACATAAAACCATGGATGGCGAGAATACATACCCAACATAGGAAATGAGCTACCTCTGATGATAGATGAGAAGGGAATTCAATCAAAGAACAATAGAAAGAATTATCAACCATATCAATAGCCTTCTATTTCTTAGAAGAAAAATGTATTTCAAATAAATATTGCAGAGTGCAAGTTTCTTAAATCTTGAGTGTTGTTTATACTCTTTATTGGTTTTGAAGTATTGCAAGATCACATTTTTTTAAGTAAATGTACATTTCAAATTTGTTCATGTTTGAACTGAGACCAAATGTAGAAAGGTTTTTATAATAATCATAATTTAGCAATTATGTTTTATATAATAAAACAGTAGTGAATGACTTCCCTACAACCACAGCTAGTTAACTGTAGCAAATAAAATTATTTCCAAGGGCTTTTCTTCCTTTGTTTTTGGGATGTTTAGTACTTTTTGAAGATATTTAGGGTCTACTGAATGTTAAGAAAGAAAAATGGTTCTTGAAATTACTTAAGCAATGATTGGAATAATTGAATATGATTTATAATTCCATAGGATGATGAGTTCATAATCTTTTTTCTCCCCTGTAATTTAACACAGAAAATACAAATATAGTTAAAAACCATATTATACATTAAGATTTAAAAATCAGTTTATTTCTTACTAAGAAATGTGGAATTGGGTGCCTGGTGACTCAGTTGTTTGAAGGTCCTACTCTTGGTTTCTGCTCAGGTCATGATCCTTAGGGTCGTAAGATCAAGCTGCCCTGTGTTGGGCTCCACACTCCACTCAGCACGGAGTGTGCTTGAGACTCTTTGCCTCCTCCCTCTTCCTTCCTTCCTCTTCAGCTCCTCCACACCACACATGCACGCTCTTGTGTGTGTGCGCGCTCTCTCTCTCTCTCTCTCTCTCTCTCTCTCTCTGTCTCAAATGAATAAATAAATAAAATGCTTAGAAAAACAAAACGTGGAATCTCTAAACTTGATGATGTGGTGCTCTGCCTATTTCACAGATAATGTACATTGCAGAGTTTTTGTTTTGGAAGAATTATTTATTTAAAACCAGGAACTGTTATATTTGCTTTCAGATTTTTTTTAAAGGTTTTTTTCTCTGAGATTTTAAACATCTGGTCTTTAAATTAGTAAAGTGTGCTTGTGGCTTTGTCTATCGAAAAAAACAAATACTAAACATGATTGTTTCTTATATGGTAAGTGGTACTTTCAACATAAGCATAATCAAGCATATTTTTTTCTAGCTAAAGCCAAAAACTGCCTTGTTATGAAAGAAAACTTCTATAAGCAGATCTATGATAACTTACCCTAACAGAAGGATTTCTACTTGCTTTTATGGTTATTCTAACAAAAATTTGACTAAATCTTGTGTGAATGTTTGGTGAGAGCTACTGTACTAGATTGTATTTAAAGAAAATTAGTTGAGATTTTGGAGCCATACTACTAAGGGGTAGATTTATAGTGAGCTGGTCATCTGCTTGGATGTGCTTTTGGCCATTAACTTGCCAGTGGATTGTTAGAAATTTCTTCTAAGTAAGGAAAACATGTAAAACCATCATATGGTGAAAACATTTAAATTTCTATGTTGGATTCAATATTTCGAGCATACCATTTTTTAAAGGAATGGTATATAGTATCACCAAATTCAGGTATGCTAAATAGAACATATGGTCATTAAGCTAAAATTAGCCATTTAGTGAATTATTACTGTTGACCCTGTATCAAACCAAAGTTTAGACCTGAAAGCAAAGGGACTCTAGCTTAGAGTGCGTTCCACTTAGCAACCAACTTGTCTACTGTTTTGCTACTGAATGCACGTACTCATGGCTCAGAAGTGTATCTGCAGCCAGCTGGTCACAACCAGACAACACTTCATTCACCTAATTTCCAGACTAGTTAGGCAAAGACATCAGCTCATTGTTTTTAGTCATAAGCAAATTTATTTGTAAACTTCGAGTAGTAGCACATTGATCTCAAAAACCCCTGAACTGTGAGACATTGCCTTCTAATTCAGGAATATAAAGTCCTTGTGATTTAGAACTGCTGCACTTAATTTTGTTTTCCTCTTAAAAATCCTTACAAGTATATTTGTTTAGAAAACAACAGCCTCTAAAATCCTAGAAAAAAGAAAATAGTAGAAAAGATACATTAAATTCTGAGAATACTTTTTGAATAGTTATCTGAAAATTAAAATTCAGGAGGTTCAATTTGTGCTCAGACTTTTATTATCTAACTTGGTCCTCATAAGATTATCTTCTAATTTAGGAAACAACAGTTTTGTTGGCATGTGAAGCTCCAGTTTCCTCAGAGTCAAGCTGTGTACATAGAAAAAAGGTATAGTATAACCACTATTAAGAGCTTCTTTGGGGATCCCTGGGTGGCGCAGCGGTTTAGCGCCTGCCTTTGGCCCAGGGCGCGATCCTGGAGACCCAGGATCGAATCCCACGTCGGGCTCCCAGTGCATGGAGCCTGCTTCTCCCTCTGCCTGTGTCTCTGCCTCTCTCTCTCTCTCTCTCTGTGACTATCATAAATAAATAAAAATTTTAAAAAAAAGAGCTTCTTTGTTCTTACTGTGTTTTTGTATTTAAAATAACCCTATTAACTTAAATGTGGTATCGGTAAATGTATGTCAGTAGAATGGATAACTAAGTTGTTATCTTAATACAATTAAGTGCTCAACATTATTGAATGAACTACAGCTACATACATCAACATGATCTCAAATGTTGAATGAGAAAAACAAGTTAAGGAAGAATGCCTAGAGTGTGATTCTGTTTGTAAATATAAGATGGTACACTTTTTAGGAATACTTGCAGAGGTGTAAAACTCTAAGGGAAATGATTAGCACAGAAGTCATGATGGTGTTTATTTCTCCAGACAGAGCAGACAGAGCAGGAGAAAGATGCAGAGAGACTTGAGAGGGTTAAAAACTTTCTTTTTGTTAGGGTTGAGTGTTAATAGAGGAAATGAAAAATGACCCAAAATTCTATGCAAAGATTATCTTGGGCGTGTATATGTGTATACTCAAAATTGAAATTAATTTCTATAAACAGCTTTTTATCCTTTTTTCATATTTGCACATTTTTAAGTATTCTTTAAAAATTTTAATGGTTATGTACTATTTGGTTCCTTGGCTTGGGAAAATTTTACAGTTGCTTTTTAAGTAATAGACTGACCGTATATTCACATTTTGCATAAGCTTCCTCTCTTTATAATTGTCATGGGGATTTTAGTGAAGTGACGAACTTTATTATTTGAAGTTGTATACCAGACTAAAATCAGGGGAAAGGACTTAAATTTTATAGATGGGGGAATATAGCACAATAGCAGATATGAATATGTATAAATGATTGAAGAAATTTACTCATTCAGAGCAGTGTCTTAATTTTGCTTTTACAGATCTGTAGTTCAAAACAGTTTGCATATTTACCAGAAAGTTGAAAAGCCTGAAATACTTTGTTTCCAGGGAAAGTAGAATCAATTTTTTAACCAGTCTTATGATTTAGAATGAATAAACTGAACATGCGCTGAAATTAGCATCATTTTCAATCTTTTTTCAGATTTTATATTTCTGCAGCTTTCAAATATATTTCATCCTGCATTCTTTCTCCTCATCTGTGAGCACAGGTGTGTGTTAAAAGAGGCTTCATATTTTTATAATTGATTTATAGGGAGCTTCTCAAAATATTGCTTTTTAGGACTTTTTAAGTGTGTCCAAGAAGTCTTTTTGAGCTTTTTTCCTAAGTAATTTTTGCTTTAAAAGATGTTATGTTTTGCCAAGAGTAAAATAAAAGGTCTGTGTTCAGTCATTTAAACAAAAAGCCACAAGATTTAGTAATTCCAAGTTAACACCTTTAGTAGAAAATAAATAATAATATGTTATTGTTTTGGTTTTTTGTTGTTGGAAAGAGTACCAGATGATAAAACTATTAATGAAATCCTAAGGCCTTATATTGATCCTGAAAAGTCTGATCCTGTAATTCGTCAAAGGTATGTCTCAAAAATCTTATAATTTTCTGAAATTATTAAAAATGTTGATGTACTGGTTATGTGCATATTCATTATGTTAAGTTAGGACTTTATTAGACTGTGATTATGTCAATGCAGTTTACTTTCTGTGCCATTTCCTTGGTGTTGACTCAAGGTTTTGTCAGTCATGGATGATGCTTTTGGATAGTAATAAAAACAGTACATAACACTTAGTACTTACTGTTTTCTAGACATTCATTAAAGCAGATGATAAATATGTATTAATTAATTCCTCACAGTAACCCCTTAAGATAGATTACTGCTGTCATACCCATTTTGTATATGGGGAAACTAAGCCTTAAAGTGGTTAAATGACTTCTTATAGCAAATAAGCAGGGAAGCTGGGATTTAAATCCAGGCAGTCAGTAGTCAGACTCTGCACTGTTAACTCTTAAACTTCTTTAAAATGGAATAAAAAACTCTAAAAATTAAGAGTTTCCAAGTAACTGTTAAAGACAGGAAATTCTGTTTCAGCCAAGTCTTCATAAAACTAATTAAGATACACTCTGCCTCCTGTCCAGAAATATAGTATTGACAAAAATGGTTAATGTAGCATAGTAGAAAGATCCAGTTATGAGTATCTGGGCTAGAATAGCTCACTCTGTCCCTTTTTAGCTATGTGATGAGGAGTAAGTTACTTAACTTCTGGACCTTAATTTTTTATCGGTAAAATGAGAATGTTAATATCCACTAGATAAGGTGGTTTGAAGCTTTAAAAAAAAAAAAAAGCACATATAAAGTTCCTAGTACAGGGCCTAGCACACAGTAGGCAGCATTTAAAAAGAGAAACTATTATTAGAATGTGAATTAGTTTTCCTGAGCAGGAACCCACTTGACTTTGTTTTCACCAGATGGTACCTACTTGGAATATGAATGCCTGGTTTGGTTCCAGTGTAACCTAATGTTTCAGTGTTAGACTGGGTGGATTCTAAAATGTCCGATTCAATTCTAGTTAAATCTCATCTTCTGCTTATAATAAAGGTTGAACCCAGACTGAACCAAATCCGTGTCCCATATCAAGCAGTGTCTTTGACACATATAGTGGTTGAATTTCTTTCCTTATTACTGATAATTCAGTTGTTATCATTGGTCATATGTTTGGCAAGAAGACAAAGTGTCACTAAATTGAATACACTTTTTAAAGATAAATAAAATGGCAAGTTTAATTTAATTTACTTAAATAGACATTTTTAATCTAAGATATTATACGGAGAGAAGAAAGGTAATTTTTAAAAATTCAAATCCTTCCTTAGAAAATATCTTTAACCCCTTTTCTGTGCTTGGATAGTTGGATTTTAAGTATTATTAGCTACTCATAAATGTTTAGTCTTCCATGAATACTATCTTGAAATATATTAAAAATCAGTTTTGTTTCCTTCAATATGACATTTTTATTTCAGGTTGAAAGCCTACATTCGCTCTCAGACTGGGGTCCAAATTTTAATGAAGGTTGAATATATGCAGCAAAATTTAGTAAGGTAAAATTGCTTCCCTCCCCATTTCTTTAAATATTTTCTAATTCTGTAATATAATTAGGTAGCCTGATTAGCTTAGGTAGCCAGTTATTATACTAATATGACTTCCAAATTAAAATTTTAAAATAATCACACTTATAGGATAAATTCAGTTGAAAAATTACTTCAGTTAAAGTATCTTAAAATAGCATTATGAACAAGTAAAAGATTCCTAAATCCCATTTGAACTTACTTCAAGAAATATTCTGGAGATGCCTGGGTGGTTCAGCGTTAAGCGTGCATGCCTTCAGCTTAGGGCGTGATCCTAGAGTCCTGGGATCGAGTCCCACAACGGGCTCCCGGCATGGAGCCTGCTTCTCCCTCTGCCTATGTCTCTGCCTCTCTCTTTCTGTGTCTGTCATGAATAAGTAAATAAATCTTAAAAAAAAAATATTCTGTACAACAGAGTTCTAATGTTCAAGTTTTTGCCTTTGGAAATACAAAAATTCATGTGACCAACTGAGCATTGCATATATTGCATTCTTTGCAGAGAAAAGTAGAAAGAGCCAGGTTATAACAAACCATATTATTTGAGACAGTTCTTTACTGTGCTCTGTTCCTTAATAGAGTGGTGATACAGACTACACCAAACCATCTCTGAGAATTCTGCAAAGTCTACTTTTGTGCCAGTTATGTGTCAGCATACTGAATTACAAAATACTGATCTTTGATGACCTTTGATGCTCTTCCATTGTTAACAAAGCTACCAAAGTCAATTCAGACTAGATCTGGTCAGTCTCACCTATGATTCGATTTGTTAACATAGCTTAGAGGTTTTAGGATCCAAGCTTTGAAAGCAGAGCTGGGATTTCAGCCCAGCTTGCCTGATTCCAGTTATGTTAAATTGAGTAAATTATGTAACCTCACTTACCTTAGTTCCCTCACCTTTAGAATAGGGGTGATAATAGTAATTATAAGATTGTCATGAGGGGTGCCTAGGTGGCTCAGTCAGGTAAACATCTGCCTTACGCTTACCTTATGATCTCAGCTTGGATCCTTGGCTTGAGCCCCGGTTCAGGCTCCAGGGAGCCTGCTTTTCCCTCTTCCCTCTGCTTGCCGCTCCACCCCCCTTCTACACAGACATGCGTTCTCTTTCTCTCTCCCCCAAATAAATAAAAATCTTAAAAAAAAATCCTCATGAGAGATTATGATAGTTCATTCAGCACTTGGTAAGTGCATGCTATTATTATTACTATGAATACAAATAAATGGATTCTTACAAAATGTCTACACATAAGATTACAAGACTTAAAGCTAAGAACAGATTTAAACACCAAATCTTGACCACCTTCTTTTACCAGCATGTCGCAAATACCCTCAATTTCATGTCATTGATCATGGTTCGGTGATGAAAAATTCAAGTTTTCTATAACGTAATTTTTTCCCTAGACTTCTTAATTCAGTATATTTACATGTAGTTCATGCATTAACTCTCCTCCTTCCCCCAGAAGATTTGGGGCCTTAAATGAGAAATGGATAGAAAGTTTTGTGGGTTTTGCAAAGATATTTATTCAAAGTTATAACATCCATGTTAACCAAAATCAGTATTTCTGAAATTGATAATCAGACATTTATGTAATTACTGAGAAATACTGACGTAAAAAGTGCATTTCAGTTTTACTTAGCAAAATCTTAAAGTAGATTTCATACAATTCATGTTTAAACAAAACAATTTGCATCATTCCCTTGGAATTTACCTCCTGACAATCACTAAGTAATTTTTCTTTTTTTATTGTTACCTCGTTCAAATTCAGTTCCTTAAAAAAAAAAAATCAGTTCCTTTCTTAACATTTACTATATTTAGTTAATTCTTGTAAATGTTACTTAGATTTACATGATGCACTCCTGTGGCTTCAGTTGTATAAGCCTGTTAATAGAACACTTTTGAGGGTTTTTATGAAAAATAAAAGTGCTTTTTGTATAGTTATCTCATCTCCTCTTCTCTAGGCCATGGGACTGAGACATACTCTCCCAAGTCTTCTCCTAACAGCCTGCTGACGTGTCCAGCATTCTAACACTCGTGCACCACATTTATCAACTCCTTGTCATAGACTGCACTGCCAGTATGGGGATAACATGTAAATGTCTCCAGAAAAATCGTAGAAGGGAGACAGTAAAAAGTGCCACCCATCAAACTAAATTGCTTCAGTCATTGCTTCATCATTTCCTTTGTTGTACTTATCAGACCTTGACTTACTACAAATAGCAGCCATTGACTATTTTAATGGCTGCATAAATGCATTTGTTTTCTTAATAAGTATGTATTTGAAATACCATATTGCTTTTCTAGACTTAATAAAAATATTTATTTTGGTGAGTTTGGGCATCGTACTGGACATGGTCGCCTTATTTACCTAAACTGTTAGGCAAATAACTAATTTTCTTTACCAAAGATAAGGGAAACTACCTATATCATTTTGGTACAACTGCAAAGAACAAAAGGTTTGGATTTTTTTTTCTTTTTTAATTTTGTTTTAGTTTATTATGGTTTTTGTTTTGTTTCTTTGTTGTTCCCATTTTTATTTCCTTCATTACCAGAAAGAGAGGGTTTGGAATATTTCCATTTTAAGGCAAACCGGGGAGTGGCTAGTGAAGAAATGTGCAAGCTCACCGAGCCAGTCAAACTTGACTCTTCGGCATAGTATCCTTGTCTTCCAAAATTCAAGGAAACCAAAATTGTATGTGTTAAAAGATAGGATACTGAGTGTTTTAAAGTTTATAATACAGGACATACTGGGCTCAGATAGCATTCATTTTTAACTTGGAAATGTGTACTATAAATGCCTGAAGAGGCAGAGAGGATGGAGATTTTGAGATGGAGATCTCAGCATGTCCTGGCAGACCAGGGTTTTCCAGGAGAGTGGCTGGCAGAAATGCCTACAGCATGGCATGATCCAGAGAGGAGCAGTTGGGAAAATCATTTCATGGAGTTGCATAGAAAGAAATCAGGATACATTAGAGACCAGAACACAGGAAGATACCAGTCAGATCAGAAAGGTGTATTTTAACAAAAAAAAAGGGTAACCTGAACCCCAAGAAAAGTAAAAAGAAAGTGCACTGAATTGAAGGTCAAATGACCTAATTCTAGGTACTCACCTTCTCTGTGCTTCATTTTCCTTTAAGATCCTTTATTTTCTCTTATTTTATACTTTCTTGAGAACCAAAATTGGGCATTGGGTTAACCTTAATCCCCATAGGGAATGGAATGATAGATTAATAAAGTAAAAGGTGAGTGTTGTTAACTTCAGGGAATACCTAGAATAGGCTGGGTTTTTTTAAATATTTTTTATTTATTATTTATGATAGACATAGAGAGAGAGAGAGAGGCAGAGACACAGGAGGAGGGAGAAGCAGGCTCCATGCCAGGAGCCTGACGCGGGACTCGATCCCGGGACTCCAGGATTGCGCCCTGGGCCAAAGGCAGGCGCTAAACCACTGAGCCACCCAGGGATCCCCTAGAATAGGCTGTTTTGATACTAAACCTGAGCCATTCTGAATAGCATGAAAAGTATTTTGACTTTATCTTATTTACATAAGAAAGTTGCCATCTGCATTTCCCCATTTGAGTTGTTTATTTGAACTCAGTGATCTATGAAAACATTAAAGAACAAGAAGGGGAAGTTTATAGCCTAGATCCTCAGAAACTCCAGTGAAGGAGTTTTTATCCTAAGTTGGGATAAGGTACATCATATATTTCTGATTTATTAAGTGAGCTTCATGATACAGTTATCCTAATTTCTGTACAACTTCACAGTTTTCAAGTATTTTCTAATCATGAATAATGAAATTAGATACTATGTGAATACATTTAGAAATAGATTTTCATTTGATGTTTTTAATTAAAGATTTTCAGTGTTTTTCAGATAATTCATTCAGATAGGATAAGATGAACGCTTACATTTGATTGTATATTTAATTACATTTGTATCATTAAAGGAAATTATTATAGGTTTTAAAACATTAAGCTTCTAATATAAGATAAGCATGCTAAAATAAGAGGATTTTATTATTTCCTAAAAAGTGCTTATAAGGCAGAAACATGTAGTTTCCTTGTGGCTGTTGATTTTAAATGTATTCTACGATTTACATCATTCCAGTGACTCCAGAGTAAAGTCTTTTTACCAAATTCTTGATGTTGCCAGTTTCCACTGGCTGTGTTTTCCATTCTTAGAGGGTTTATGACCGTTGTCTCATGATATACCTGGTCAGCTAGAGCAATCTTAAATGTTTCCCAATTTTTAGCTTTGCCATACATGACTTTTATTTTTAGATTTAGGGGATTATAGAATCCATGTCTAACCCTAAGGAATTTGCTGCTCCTCTGTTTGAATTTGTGTTTTCTTATAAAAGCTAATATGACTTCTTAAGTAAATTCATGTATTCATTCACTTGCAAATGGTGATTCTCACTGTGGTCCAAGTATCATTCTGGACATTAGAGTAAGGAGAACCATTCCTGCCCCGGTGGAGCTTACATTCTCAGTGGAGGAGAAGTCATGAAAGGTGCTTGTTTTAGTGGCACTCAAGAGCCATTCCATTTCTTCACCAACTCTATTCTTACAAAGTAACTGAGTAGTTTTGAAACAAAACCCATGTTGGTAATGCCAGGTACTATAAGAGGCAGTCATTGTATTTGCTGCTTTCTCAAGTTGTTACTGACTAAAGAATTTAGAGTAATCCCAAGTTTGGTACTGTTCATTCAATTGTAATTTCCCAAATCTATATTCTATATTTTACTTATTAAAGGAACCATTGATTTCCCATAAAGAAGTTAAGGTATATTTTGTTAAGTTTAACAACTTTGTTGTTTTGATATTTATATAAGGTCATTTTTTGGTTTTGGTTTGGTTTTTTTTTTTTTAAGATTTATTTATTTGAGAGAAATAGGGTAGAGCAGAGGGAGAGTGAGTCCCAAGCCCACTTCACTGTAAGCGCAGAGCCCAGCATGAGGCTTGATCCCATAAT